ACCAAAAATATTAAAACTATAAAAAAAATCCATGAATTCTGAAGTTGAAGAACTCAATAAATGAGATAAGGAATGCTTTAGAAAGCAGGGAAACCGAGCAGACCACATGGAAGAGAGAATTAACAAGCTTGAAAATAGAACTCTGGAAATGATTCAGGGGAAACAGGAGAAAGAACTGAGATTCCTTTTTTTTTTTTTAATAATGAAAGAACTCTATAAGAACTCTCTAGCTCCATTAGAAGGCACAATACAAAGATAATGGGTATCTCAGAAGAAGAGAGAGAAGGGAACAGAGAGCCTATTCAAAGAAATTATTGATAAGACCTTCCCAAATCTAGGGTAGGAACTGGACATTCAAGTACAAAAATCTAACAGAACACTTAATAATTTAATGCAAAAGAACCTTCTCCAAGGCAAAGTTAATGATGGGACTTATGGTCAAGATGGTGGAGTAAATAAATGCTGAGCTCACCTCTTCCCATGACCACATGAAAATTATGAGGTGTGATCAAACAATATGGTGACTGTTCAAATTTAAAAAAATTATTACAGGGCCGGCCGAGTGGCTCAGTTGGTTACGAGCTCGCTGAAGAGTTTGAGCTCTGAGTAACAGCAGTTCAAGTCCTGGCCCAAGCAGAGCTGCCGCTGAGCTGCCAACAGGTGGCAGGATGGCTCAGCTAAAAAAAAAACCCCATTATTACAGTAAAAGACACATTGCCATTAACCACCCCCCCTTGCTTCAAACACACTTATCCCATCATTCTTGCCACTTTCTGAAGCAGTCTGGAAGTCCTCTTTCGTGAGGGCTTAGGGTTGTTTGAAGAGTTCTCACTGTCAGCGCATGTCTGTTGTAAAATGAGTGTGTGGTCAGGATATGAGGACGTTCCTTTTTCACTAAAGTAGCATAACCAGACGGTCACCATGCATTGTAGGAGTTCCATCTGTGAAAAGAGAACAGAAACTTTTGTCTCCAAGTTTTGTATGATAAAATCACCGTTTTACCATTGCCAAAAAGCTGTTGACTTCTTCCAAAAGAGTCTCAGGGTGTAAGAATTCTTTGATCACTTCAGCCTGCACAAAGCAAGCAAAACCAAAAGGAAAGGGGAAGTGGCTACACTGATAGATGCCTTTCATTTCGTCTGATTGTAAAACTAATGTGTGCGACAAAGGTGCCAATTCCTCAGTGACAGCCTCAAATTTTTAAAAGAAATATCAACTATTGTATTTGACAAGGAAATGGATTATAGATTTTTTCCCTTTGTTGCAGTCCACAAACCAGTTCAGCATGGTTTACTGAAGCTTATCCAGTATAAGTGGAGCTTTCTTTCATTCAGCAAGATGGCGAGAAAAGGTATGGAAGCTTCAAGAAAGAAGTTCTGTAAAATGGTACACTTACATTTAGAAATGTGCCAAGTTTTTCAAGCTCGGCTTTCTTATTAGGAAAAATCCCAAATCCTGAGATGCATTTTCAGGACAGACAAGTGAGACGCACTTCCATTTTGTCTGACTTCCTGCTGCATTCCTAAGAATGCTTCCACACCAATAAAACCATCGTGGCTTTTGTGTCCTAGCAAGTTCAAAGCTGCACAGGAAACCATCTAATTCCTGTTCTTTCACTTATTTCTCTTGGTAACAAAGTTTTGGCACTGCTAAACTCTTATGGTTCACTGCAAACATTTAAAATGGAAGGAAATGCTTAATATCAAGTAGAGGTTAATGAAAAATATAACTTTCTCTCAGAGTTCATGAGCCTCATGAAGCTGAGGACACTAGGCCCCATGTTAATAAAACTTGCTCAGGAAGGGAGGTAAAGTACTAACAAAAATCTGACACTTACATGCATAAAATCAGTCTATAAACGGTACTGAAAAGAGTTTTTTGAAACTTTTTATATCCATTGTGACTATTCATCTAAAGCATCATAATAACAGCAATATTGTGAACGAAGCCTGAATTTTAGTGACACTGATCTGTGCTGGAATCTCCGCTGTGCTCCGTGCTAGACACGTCAGCACCAGGGTGTTGTAGGGACTCCAGGAGATGACTTGAGTGGAAGTGGCTTAGCCCTGTGTGTGGCACGTGGCAAGCACTCAGTAAATGTTGGTTTTGCTCTTTCCTTCCCTGCTTTTCCCACCACCAATCGGAAGGTGTGAGGGGCTAGTTGTCTGCTCCCGGTGATTTCCCTGGCCGCACAGGCAGGTACCGCTCCAATAGATTTTTTATAAGGTCATTATCTCTCACTTAAGTCTCTGTACACATTCTGGAAACCCATTGCTGCCCCTGGGAGCCCAGAAACAAAGCAACTTTATGCCAAGGTCCATTCCCCCAAAACAAAGGGCAGCATTTAGAAGCTCAAGTTAAGGAGACTGCTCATCTGTGGTATCACCAAGATCTCAGTCACCCACCCTTGAGCCCAGAGAGACCATGAACACAAGGACACAATGTTCTGCTTTCATCTCCACAGAGCAGGGCAAATGGCATCTGTGCAGAGTGATGGCCTTCTTGGCATGGGAGTGCATTCATTTGGGTGCTGTGCCCCACTGACTGTATCAGTGGGATCATGAAGAGTGGTATCATGTGAGATTGATACCTTCATTCATTCACTCTTTATGTAGTCTTCACATGTTTGGCACATCACCATGTGCCAAGCAGAGTGCGAGGTCAGAATAACAGAACTTGGTCCCCGTTCTCATGATTTACATCATAGAACCATACAATGTTAACGTTGTAAACAATCCTAAAAATGGTGGAAATCTCACATCACAGATAAATGGCTTGGTAAAGACTCCATGAGTTACACAGTAACCAACCACAGGTCTCCAGACTCCCAGGAAAATGCTCTTTCTATTATACCACACTGCCTCTGTTAATAGGTTCTAATACCTATTGTCTCCTACTCCATGCTAAATGAAGGAAGAAATTGTTTTTAAGAGAAATTTTTATCCATGAGTTACTGTGGGAGGATGAGGAGTGGGTCAGAGGACCCCAATGCTTGGGTGGAGTTGCAAAATTCCACAACCCTGACTGGAAACAATCCAGTAGAAAAGAGGATTAAAACTCAACGGGGCTTTCAGAAAGCATCTGTCAAGGGGAACCTTGAAGAGAGAAAAATAGAAATGTGGAAACCCGTTGCAGTTTAACCTAGACTGTCTGCTTCTATGGCTATGATTCTAGGGTCACTCTCATTAAACAGAGAAAGCAGACAAAACAGGTGACAAATGAAATACCCTGATAGCCTTATAAACCCAAGCACCAAAGGCTCGGGGGTTGCCTTCTTGATATGCCTTTGGGAAATCCTGAAAAATTCCATCCAGTTTCTAACATCTTCTCTGGAAATATGGCAGAATAGAGAAAAAAACTTCACAATCTTGCTCTCCATTCTAGAATCAATTCTTTTCAGAGGAACCAATTCCTTTATGTCTAAGGCTTCTGGCTCTCAGGCAAAGATGGGCTCCATGCTCTGGCTGGTCATAGGGAAGAAAAAAAAAAAGGCAACATTATACATTTTGTGGCATTTGAGCTAAGGCCTGATTTCATGCAATCTATGTCTGCTATCTAAAAATGTCAGACTTGATATGTTTGTTTGTTTTTAAAGATTTTATTGGGGAGTTGGGGGAGGGGAACAGTGTTGGGGAATTGGGGAAGGGGAACAGACAAGTTGTTGTCCTTCAGTCTTAGTTGTGGAGGGCGCAGCTAGCTCAGCTCAAAGTCCAGTCACCATCTGGCTGACTGTCGGCAGCTCACAGTGCTCAGCTCAAGGTGCTGTGTTCAATCTTAGTTGCAGGTAGGCATAGCCCACCATCCCATGCGGAGGTTGAACTGGCAACCTTGTTGTTAGGAGCACGTGCTCTCACCAGCTGAGCCATCCTGCCACCTGTTGGCAGCTCAGAGGCAGCTCAGTGGCAGCTCAGCTCAGGCGCAGCTCACTGACCCATGTGGGAATCGTACCGGCGACCCTGTTGCCCAGAGCTCATGCTCTTATCCAACTGAGCCACTTGGCCGGCCCACAGACTTGATATGCTTTAATGAACATACTGTTCCTACAACTAAAGAACACGTCATTGAATCAGTTCAGTATGGAAGATCCAAGTGTCTTCTAGCCCAAGAACCATCAGCCCACTGACAGGTTTAGGAGATTTCGAATACCAGGGCTGGTCATAATTTTTTAGTGTTTTACCCATGGTGAACCTTAACTGAGTTAAGTTCTGTAGAGATAGATGCCTAAGTCATTGACAAAACTGGCCAGATTCACAATATAAATTTGCTAAAGATCAAGTTGTGTGAGATTTCTAGCAGGGATTTCACAGCCTTACAAATTTACCAGTCCCTGGCCTTGGAGGACAGGTTTCTAGGAAGGTGGAAGAGTTCTGGGCTGAGAATCAGAAGTTCTAGGTTGAAGGTAGAGTTTGGTCATAGATTATACATCTTTTCATCTCTTTCACTCTCCTGTTTCTCACCCATAAAGTGAGGCACTAGGTGAGCTTGTCTGACTTACTCATTGCTCTGCTCTCACACATGGAACTGTGTCTGGCTCATAAAGCTCTCCATAAATATTGAATGTATGAATAAACCTCCAAGAGGCATGGAATCAAGGTGGTTAAAAGTGTGACCTCTACAATCAGAAAGTCTTGCACTATCAGTCACTAGATAGGTGATCTTGAGTGAGATACTGGACCTCACCAAGTCCCAGTTTCTCCTGTGGGAAATGGGGAACAAGGATACTAATATCACAACTATAATATTAATAATAACTACTCTGATGATTATATAAAAACAAAGTTAGCGTAATGTAAATGCCAACATTTATTATCATTATTCTCAGCTGTGGGGTGGAGAAGAGCATGAACTTGAGCTCTGGGTGGAAACCTTGGGTGATTGATTCCCTTAGGCAAGAATAATCCCTGCCCTATAACGAAGAACACTTCCTCCCTGTAGCCTAAAGACCTGTGCTTGTAGCCCCTGGCTTTTTTTCTTCCTCTGCAAGGGACTTGTGTGTCAGGATGGACAAACACTTCTTGTTGGTCTTCTCCCTCTTCTGCTTCATTGAGGGTGAGTCACATACCTGAGGAGTGGGCTCCAGAGAGAAGGTCTAGGGAGCCCCTGGGAACTCCACTATGCAGTAGGTATCCACGTCGGGGTGAACCCTGACTATATTTATAAGGGAGGGGACACTAGCCTGGTCAACTTTTCTGACGGTTTCAACATTCTGCCAGTCCCCATCAGAGGCTCAAGCCTCTGTGGCTGCCCCTTCACACTGCTTCCCCACCCTGTCCCTACCATTCCCCATAATCTAAAATCCTAACAAGACTTTCTTTAGGACACCGTTTCCGCTTATAAATCTGTATGCCATTTCCCGAGGGAGCTGGTCATTCTATATATAATGCATCATTTTGTAGTTGATTTTAGGTGCTACACAATGGCTTCCGATACCCATATCACAGACTTTATGTTGAAACACGTGATTGATTCTAGGAGAGGAAATAATGGATGCTCTGGAATCAGACAGATAAAAAATATGGTTCAGTCACCGTCTTAAACTCTGTGTACTTTTCGTTGCTCACCTGAGAAATGAGGAAATACCTACGTACAAGGCTTTTTTTTTTTTT